GTGTTGTTAGTTGTAGTAGTAGTAGTGTGTAGTAGTAGTGTGTGTAGTATATAGTATATATATATATATATATATATATATATATATATAAGTGTGTGTGTATGTGTGTGTGTATGTGTGTACATCTGCGTGTGTGTATGTATGCTTATACCTACATCTATATTTAATTATTCGTGTACATATCTATAAATATATTTATATATATATGTATTTATATATATATATATATCCATATACATATACACATATATATATTTATATATATATATAATGTATATATATATATATGTGTGTGTGTGCGCGTGTGTGTTTGTGTTTGTGTGTGTGTATGTGTGTGGATTTCTTATGTTTATATATATATATATATGCATGTGTATATATATTTATATATAAATATATATATATTATACAAGAAAGTTCATGCACGCTTGTATATGTGAGACCTTCTGAATTCAAAAAAGCGTGCACTGTGTAATTGAGAAGTACGCTACAGGGACACCAGAGTTGCATCGGTTACATTGCCACTGCAACGTTCGCCTGGATGAGATCGATATTTATTCGAGTACGTGTTGCAGTGTTGAATCCGCACGTTTTATATCATCATAGAGACTTCTAACCTTTTCATTCCAGTATAAATGTTTATGGGTATCGTCGTTGCCGTCCCGACAGTATTTTATATGCAACACCGCGGCTAGACTGGGCAAATCGTTCTTGTTGGCAATCCTTACTTTGTCAATGATTTGCCTCAGCGCATCGTCGTGCTCGTCAGTGTCATAATCAAATTTTTTGAGATAGGCTATTTCAGGCCCCAGTTGGCTCTTGGCCTTCTTCAGCTTATTGATAACACCCTTAGTTCGGCTATTCCCGTATTCCTTTGCTAACTCTTCATGTGCACACGGCGCTTCGGATAGGTATTGTGTTATCATTCGTTGCTCATCTTCGGGCGCTGTTTTACCTTTCTTCTCCTGCTGTTTGCCGCTCTCAGTCTCATTCTCAGCGCCTTTGTGACGTTTAGTTGATTTGATGCTGGGCGCTGCTGCCCGTTTCTCTGGCACATATCGCGCTGGTGGTTCACTTAGCAATCCCTGACTATAAGCAACCTGTGCGGGTTGGACGGCTTGCAATTGTCCTACTGCCTCTCCTTCGGCTACACAGATTTGATTTGGTTCTGAGCTTACTGCCAATCTCCCTTGGTTTTCAATATGTTTCTTTGACCGCTTCTTCCTCGCTGCAGCACTATCGTTAAAGAGTCGGTTTTGCTCCACTGCCCTTTTTCGCTCTTCGGTCAGTGCCGTCTGCATATCATCGCCTACGAAAAGGCTCGTATTCATCGCACTTTCGCTGTTGTCAGAATCGCCGTCGCCAGTTACATCGTCTACCCTGTGCGTGACTGCTCTATCTTGTGCAACTGTGTCGTTCCTTCGAGCATTTGTATCACTCGCATGTGCCACCGAGGCGCGCGGCTGGAATGTAGTTTTGCGAATGATGGGATTTACGGTTCTTGCTGCGAGTCGTCGTTCCTCGTTACTATCAACATATTCTCTCGACGAAATCCCATCGGGCTGAAGCGACTCTGGATTGGGTTGGCGGTTGTGTTGCATACCTTCATTGTCTTCCCTGACAGCCTGCATCGGGTATTGAGAATCATGTCTAGGTTGTAAATGCGCTTGAGTGGTGCTCTGTTCTTGAAATCCTCTAGAGAGAGGAATGCTCTCATAATTCCGCCTATCCTTGGGGGATAGATCATATACCTGCGCATCGATATTTACCGCTCTATCCTGGCCACCAGAGGATTGCCTGATATAATCCGCATCTGGAGCTTTTCCTGTCGCTTCTCTATACTTCGCTTCTCTATGCTGCAAGTACCTACAATTCCAACCCCTAGAATCGCCACGATGTAATTGTTCCAGCCAATCTCGACATTCAGCCTGTTCTTTAAACGCCTTATTTAAGTTCAGGTATGAATTTGCAGCTTCACTACACCATGTTGCGCACGTCGCCCAATCCTCACGCCACCACGATTCTGACTTCACTCGAGAAACAAACTCTCCAATTGTCTCCTGTATATGCTCACACTCACTATCTTTCTCTTCAAGGCTGGCCATGAGAAGTCCACACTTAAAGTCGCTGTGCTCATCGACCACATTCGTAGAGCTGCGCGCCCCGTGCATTTGACCCCTAGACATGCTTCTTGTGGATTTTGGCGTGGGGCCGTGGGCGTTCCTGATTTTAATTACATGTTCGTATTTGATTATTTATGTAAAAATATTTACGCCAAATCAATAATCATACAAGTAAGGCCCATCACTACATGTCCGGACTTAACTGAAGGCGAGGCGAAAGTAAACGTTTATTTTTAGATATTCTTTATATGTATGTGTAAAGAGGAAACGTATACAAAGACGAATAAAAAACAACTCGGCAATTGCCTGGGCTTGACGTTCCAAACTTCCACACCCTGACTCCTTGAGGCTGTACACCTGTACCCCTGCGGGCTGTGGCTGCCACGGCACCATCCCATAGTGATAGTAGTCGACAAAATGACCAACGGACAGTACTAAGTGCTCCGTTGAAATTTTGGTTGGCGCGCGCGTGCCTAACGGTCAGTTCGACTTTAAAAGTTGACACTGGTTGGGAAGCGGGGGCCGGGGGAGGGGGTCCTGGAGGGATGAGGGATCGATGGGGATCAATGGGGTGGAGTTGAGTGAGACTTCCGAGTCCGAGACTTCGAGAAGTTCGAGATGAGTTTCAATGACGACCCCGGGCCCAGCCAGGGCCTGGGCGGCTGGGCCCTGTGAGGCTGTGTGCGTGAAGACGGGTGAAACGGAACAATAAATGCAAGAAGGCTGGCAAGCGCGGAAAATGTATAAAAAAATTGACAATAAATTTTGAGCCGACACTTTTTTTTACTAATTTAGAATGCTATGGTCAAATGTACTGATACAAGGACAAGGGCATGACTCGCGTGCAACAACAGGGGCAACGCAGCTCTACTACAGCAACTACAGTTGCAAGCTGCTTACGGGTGAAGAAAAAAAGGCTATGAATATGAGAAGGTCAAGGAGACGGTTTCGGAGTTTGTAGATGCTGCACTTGAGGAGGCGTGGTGGAAACTAGAAAGTGCCAACTGTGCGATACAATGTGACGGAGCAGCAGACGCGTACAGGATCTTGGATAACTGTACAAGAGACCAAGCTGAATGTGTAGACTGGCTGGAACAGTTGCACTATGGCGAGGCAGTTGTTGAATATTACGACTATCTGTAGTATAAGACCCAAACGGCTATTGAGTCGCTATCTAGAGGCGCTTTCAATCTTAATGGGCAATACTCGAATGAATATATCCAGCATACTATCCCAGAGCACCACGTGCGATTTTAGAGTAGATTTAACCAGCATAGGCTCACTGAATGTAGAGCTTCAAATACTGCTAGGTCAAAGACATATCAGGAAACGGACAACGAACAATCTATAATTGTACCGAGCAACTGTGGAGATTCAGAATATAGTGTGCAATATCAGAGTGAACCAGATCAGCGCACAGGGATAATTGGCATCGGACGACCTCGAGATGCACATATGACGTCTGGAGAGCCGGGCCATATTGTACAAACTCGGAAAAGTCAGAATCAAGGTAGGGGGGCGAATCGAGATATCCACAGAGGTTCTCCGTTGCAATATGCAAACAGAGAAAATGTATCCAACGTACTTATAATATAACGACATCAATGTCTCGTAGAAGTTATTCGAATATGCAAAGAAAGGCCATAGATAAACGGAATAGAGTAGGTATAATCAGAGAACGCGATGCATGTCACGACAGTCATTCTGAAGATAATTCTGATACTGGGAGTTATCGCGAACCGCGCTCTCACGTGAGCTTGCAGTCATCAAGTGCCGCATATTGGCATCCACGTTCGGCAGCGAGAATGGCAAGTCCCAATAAACGTATGTCCGTAAGTTCGACTGAGGGTGATACACTTGATCTTGTCGAGAATGATCTACGCTTTGAGCCGTCAGAAGTAGCGCATTCTAAATGTCAGGGAATTTGGTTCAGCCCAGAGCAGTCTCAGTTGGAGCAGAACTACATCACGGCGACCTAGCCGAGACGAACTTGGATTGCTTGAAATATGGGCAAACTTCACGCTTGATATAAATATAATATATATATGTGTGTGTGTGTGTGTGTGTGTATACATCGGTTTAGATGAATGTATACATAAATTAATATTTATATTTATATACGAGTGTGGGAGTTGATGGTTGTATCTATGTGTGTGCGCGTGTTTGTGTACGTATATATATATATATACGTGTGTGTGTGTGTTTCTATAAAATATATTTATATCTTTCCATATCTAGTATTCACATATATATTTATATATATATATACATGTCTGTGTCTGTGTCTGTGTGTATGTGTGTCTGTGTATGTATATAAATATATATAGATATCGGTGTATGTGTATATACATGTTTATATATATGTATAAATATTTGTGTGTGTGTTGTGTTCGTGGGTGTGTTTATATGTGTATATATCTATATTCATGAAAGTTTGTATATATACATATATATATGTGTGTGTGTAGGTGCCTGCGTGTTTGTGTGTGTGTATGCATGTATGTGTTTCTATATAATTATATATATATATATATGTACGTACGTACCTGTGTCTGTGTTTGTCTG